AGAGAGAGAGAGAGAGAGAGAGAGAGAGAGAGAGAGAGAGAGTGAGAGGGAGAGAGAGAGATCGGTCTTAGAGATGATGCAGAAAAAAGAACTCAAGGAGTTATTTACAATATGGAAAAACCAATAAAATGTTTGGGCAGAGTCAACTAACATGAGCAAGATGAAAAAAAAATACAAGGAGTATAGCAACCGTGCAGCGGTACGACAGGAAGAAAATACTGTTTAGAATAAGGAAAAATAATCCAATCGAGTAGAAATCATAACACAGGTAATTCCTCAATATTGCTTCATGTAATAGAGAACTTAATGAGAACATTAATAAAGTAGAGACAAAAGACAAAATTATAAAACAACAGAATGAGATCTACAGGGATATTACAGGCCTCAGGTAACAAATCAGGGTTGCCAGCAGCGTCTTTACAGAACTAATGAAAAATTATAAACAGTAAGGAATAGAATAGGTATTACTGAAAGCTGTGTTCCAAGTCCACAACCTCTCCCTAAGATGAAACCCCCAGATCCAAAGAACTAAGAAAAATTACAGGATTTCTCCCTAAGATGAAACCTCCAAATAAAAAAACTAAGAAAAATTACAGTTTTCTTGGTACCCTTGTCAGCATAATCTGTCCTGAACAGATGTGAAGTTCTTTATAATCCTTGTTTACCCAACTTGAATATTATACTTTTCATCAAGAAACTTTAAAAATTTGAGTAATGGGTACTGCTTCAGACTCTACTGGGAGTATTATACAATATATGAAATATGCATTTGGTATTTTCTAAACTATGAAATAATTTTGAATTCTAAAGCATATCTGGCTCTTAGGGTTTCAGAAAGAGATTGTGGACCAGTAATAAAATAGGAGAAGCCACAAAAAAATTAAAGAGACATAGAGATGAAAGTAATTAGAAATCTTGTATCCCATGAATTGAATTTCTTCCTCCCTTAAATATATCCTTTTGTAGTTGCCTCAGTAAGGGACATATATTTCGGTTTTCTTTTATTTGAAAGTATCTGTATTTTGCCTTCATTTTTGAATAATAATTTCACTGAGCACAAAATTCTCAATGGATAGTTATGTTCCTTGAGCACTTTGAAGATATGATCTCTATTGATGTTTCTGAGAAGATAGCTCTCAGATTTACTGCTGTTCATTTGTAGGTAATTTGTCTTTTTCTCTCTGGTTACTTAGGGGTCTTCTCTTTCATGATGATGCGTTTGGATGTTGAATTTTCTTTTCCTTTCTCTTCTTTCCTTTCCCTTCCCCATCCTTTTGTCTTCTTTCTCTCCACTTGTCTTCCTTTCCTTTCTTTTGGTTTATTTTCTTTTTCACATTTGTTTTTGCTTTTATCTTTCTTCCTTATATATATTATCCTAGATGAACTTTAGAATATCTACCATTTCAAAACTTTTTAAAGACAATTTAAATTTTGATTGGAATTTTATTTAACCTATTAATGAATCTGGAACAAATCGATATTTTTAGTATGTTTAATATTCTTATTCAGGAACATGCTATTTCTACACATTTGAAAATTTCTCTATAACTATTTTTTCATTTTTCAAAACATCTTGCATAATTCTTGTTAAATATATGTATAGGTTTGCTACATGTTTTGTTTCATGTTGAATAGACTGCTTTTAAAAAAAATATCACGTTATCTATTTGGCTATTGCGGCTTAAAGAAGCCTACTAGCTCTTTGAATTTTTTTTCTATTTAGATAGGTCAGATTCTACACAGTATGTAGGGGAGTAGCATAAAGGTCAATAAAACGGGGATGCAAACAGCAGAGATTTTTAAAGATGCAGCAAAATCTGTTTTTGTTTGTTTTTTTAAAATACTTTTTATTTTTTTAGAACAGTTTTAGGTTTATAAGAAAATTGACAGAAATGTACAGAGATTGAAATCTGTTTTTAAGGACAAGTATGTTCTCATTTATTAGACAAAATTAGTTGATTAGAGAGTGCATTTTATTATCAAATATACAGGGAAAGAAAAGTAATGATTGACTACAACCAAGAGGAAATCTTTTAATGTATTTAATTTTCCTGCTAAAGTAAAGATTGAATATATACATTTGACTGCAGAAAGTTCTAGTTATGAAGGCTGAATCAAACTTAAGTAGGGAAATAAATATACAGAAAAAAAACTGGGTGAACTAAAATTAGTAGAATTCAAATGATATACATCAAGCAATAGTTAAAGACACTGAGAAATTGCAATGCAGAGTTACTAGAAATAATTTTTGAGACTCAGGGAATATACCCAACATTCTTCCTAAAGTATATTTTAAAATCATAGAATCAATGTCAGTATCTGAGGATAAAGTAAAAGAAATTATCAATTTATAATTTAGAAATACCTAAAAGAGCTTAAGTGGCTGCCTGGTTTTGTAAAACAAATCATGTCAGACCAGTTTAATTCTCTTTTATGGCAGAATGATAGCTTTAAGTATCAGAAGCATTAAGGATCATTTGTAAAACACGATCTATTTTAATTTCAATAAATGCTTTGTTCTGTTGCATATGGCATGTTATTTATAAGCTAAGGAAGTATGGGGTGGTGTACTGTTCTCAATGGCTAGTTATCACAAACTCTTCCCCATTGGGAGCTTATATTAATAGGCAGTGGCAAGAATGCATAGTGGAGTTCTTTGGATTCAATAACATGATAAAAAATCTAAAGAAAAGTTTTAGATGTTACTAATGAAATCTGTAGATATTACTAAGGTAAATAGTAGTATTGGTCTCTGGTGCTAAACTTCAAAACAGTCTTGAAATATTAGAAAGAAAAATTCTAAAAGATTTAATCAGTACTAGCAGAGAAAACTAGGTGATATGAAGAATACTTTGGGAACATTTTTGGGGTGAAACAGCTGCATGGTATGGAAAGATCAGCTCAATGAGAGTGTTTAATTTAAAACAGAATCACAATATGTCTGTGAGGTACAAGGTGAGTTCGAGCGTAAGTGTCAAAATGATCACAGATCAAAATGTTGTAGTAATAAAAAGTATTTGTTAAAAGAGAATGAGAAAGAATAAGGAAGGAAGGAAAAGAGAAAAAAATAGAGGCAAACAGAATTCAGTTATATTGAAAAGCATATGGCATACGAAATCTAAAATATCACTCTTCCACTCACTACTAGTCATGCTTGTATTATTTAGAATATTATGTCTCATTTTAGTCAGCACATTTTAAAAGGATGTGAAGACAAGGAAATGGATTTAAAGAAGAGCAATGAGAATGATTGAAGGGCTACAATATATGTCCTAGGATGAAAGGTTAAGAATTCAGTGGTGTTTAGGCTAGAAAATGGATAGGGAAAGGATGATTTTATTGCCATTTTCAAGTATATAAAAGATTTTTGTGAAAGATAACCCCCATCAGTGATTTCTCAGGTCTATAGAGGATGGAAAAAAAATAAAGTGCAAAGGAGCTTAAGTTTAAGCAGAAAAGATCAGGTTTGGATATAAGGCATCTGCCATCAGGGTGATGGAAATTTGAAATGACTTCTAGAGGAGATGATAATCCAAGCCACCATGCTAGTCTCCATGTTGAATGTGCTGTTAAGAATGATAGCAAGCCTGGGAAAGATTCTCTATATCGGGTCAGCAAATGACCAACTGGTCCACTATCTGGTTTTGGATTCTATGAGCTAAGAATGTCTTTTACATTTTTAAATCACTGAAAACAAATCAAAAGAAGAATATTTCATGTCACAGGAAAATTGCATGAAAATCAGTCAGTGTTCATTAATGAAGTTTCGTGGGAACACAGCTACCTCCATTCACTGATGTATTGTTTGTTGCTACTCTATTTGTGCATTACAATGGCAGAGCTGAATAGTTGTGACAGAGCACATGGTCCACAGAGCCTAAAATCGTTACTATTTGTCCCTTAACAGGAAAAGTTTCCAACCCCTGACCTATAGGATGGTAGCCAACTTACACAGTACATGCGTTTTTATCTCCAAAGTCTAGAAGCTTTCTTTGTTGTAATAAAAATGGACTCCCCTGGGGTCGGCAGATGAATATAAGCGGCACATCCTTCGAAGGGTCTTTGAGAGAGGTTTTGGCCCACAGAAGAACACGCCAATGCTGCTGCTGCAGTGGGGGGTGAGAGAGGAGAGTGTTACACAGGGCAAGGCTAGCCAGGAGCCAAGACAGAGTTAGAAAACCAGGGAAGCGGCTGTGGTTGTGACTTTACTTGATGACTTTCCTCCACTCGCTTCCTTTTTTCTCAGATTCTCTTTCCCAACTTTCAGTACCACGGCCTTCCACAGGTGCTCAGGGTCCTGTGATGGTCTGAATCGCACAGGTAGGGAAGCCAAGAGGATTGAGACTGGGGAGCCCTAATGACTGGGGAGGGAGTGTCAATATAGAAGTCACACGGCCTAGATTTTTAGTCTGGTGACATTGATTGGATGGTGGCTAGAATGTAAGCTCCTTGAGAGCAGGGACCGGGTCTGTTTTATTCATCTCTTACCGGCATAAAGTAGACAATCAGCACATGTTTGTTTGAATGAATGAATGAATGGTTCTGCTGGTTATTATTATCTGCGTGGTGTTGGGCAAGACACACTGGACCTCAATCTCCACATGCGCAAAACAAAGATAATAATGACTCCATTGTACATGTAATTGAAAGCAAGATGTGTTCGTGCATTCGGCAAGTGTTCAGGATTACTAACACCCTGTGCAACCCTGCCTTTTTATAGATAAAACAATTTATACTCAAGTCAGCAACCCAGTTTATTTCCCCTGTTGGAATTACTTTAGTTTTCAAAAAAGGGCAAATAGAAGAGTTGGAAAGGAAAAAGACATTGCTGAAGATGTGGTCACCCAAAAGCTGTCACCTGTAATCATGGCATTTTGGAAAGCTGTGCCAAAGAAGGATTTTTGCCTGCCGTGACTGTCCCAGGGCTGCTCCAATCCCCTGTGACCGAGACTGCCAGCGCTCCTTACCCATAAACAGCCCCACCGGGGAAAGGGATCAGGTGGTGTCTGGAAGCTGGGAGGGGCCGTCTCTATGGACTTAGACACCACGTTTCCCCTTCGCTTGCCTTGTGCTGTTCCTCGCAGCATTTTTCCAGTCTCGGGCACAAGCTTAGCTAGTTACTCTACATCAAAAGCTCTCCTACGTTGCTGTGCATAAAACTATCTAGGCAGATTGTTAAAATATAGGTTCCCAGGCTCAAGTCCAGGGGATGAGCTTGTCACAAGACCCCCAGGTGATACTGAAGCACCTTGTCTATGAGCCGCACTTTGAGAAACACTGGCTCAGAGGAATTCCTCAGAACCTAGGACCAGCCCCCTACGCCACCTCAAGCTCTTTGTACCTGGTTTTGGTTGGGAAGCGCCTCTATAGCCTTATTCTTCTTAGCTTATATATTAACGTGGTTCTCTGCCATGTATCATATCCACGTTTAATTATGTGTTCCGGGACCATAATATCCATGGTAGAATTTGATGGTTCAATTACATTTCAAACTCTAGCTTCAAAGGAACTTATCAAGTGGATTCATTTACAAGTGACAATATGTTTAAAATGTATAAGTACTATTTCTAAAGACATCATTCTCATGACTAAATTCGAGAAAGCACTTTTTCAGAAAGTATTTCCTATTGAAAAATATGAGTTTATGACTTAATGAAGCAAGTGTAAGGTGTTTATGGAAATATAAGGCAGTAGTTAAGAGTGATGGTGATCCCACCCGTTTGTTGCTGAGTGACGTTGGGCATGTTAAGTGTCTCCTGAAAGCTCCCCTCTCCTCTTCTATGTAATGAGGATTGGACAAGACACTGCGGGTATAGCTGTCTGTCCTGTGCTTGGCGCATGGTGAGCTCTCAGTAACAGTCAGCTTATGTTATGACCCACAGAGTGTCTGCCCACTCCACAAAACGGAACAGAAGATGTGAGGTGGGCTGTTAACCCAGAGATGATTACAGGCTTCCTGGTTCAACTCTATTGCGAGGCTTTCTGAATCCTGGACTGAAGCGTTTAGAATGACAGATGGGTCAAGGCAAAACCTTTCCCAGTGAGGAGTCACAGCTTGGCTCTGCGCCTGATGCCCAGAGGTATCCCTGCATCTAGGTTCAAAGATGCTGTTATGGGTGGTGATCTTTTTCCATTAGTGTAGGTGTCACCAAAGAGATTGCCCACTGGCCCACTCCCAACGGGCTGAGATTGCCCTTCCGTTTGCAGCCACGGTGACTGCTTGCAGAAGCTGGGGCTGCTCTTTGATGCTCTGCCTCGAAGACTCCATGTCAAAGGATGCTGATTGCTGACTGCCAGGCACACCACTGGTGTCCCCAGCAGTTCACAGCTACCTGGCTTCTTTTGAAGTTGTGGCTATAACACTGCACAGCTAAGTACACACTTTTCTGTATTCACGTGCCTGGCATGGTTGTACAATCACCAAAGTATGGCAGAAGCTGTTCTTCATGTACCTTCCACTAAGGCTGAAAGGCCAGTCCTTTGCCAGCTCTCGTGCATTCCTGTCCCCACACATGGCACTCTTTGGCCTGCCTCGCTTACCCTCCATGGCATTGCTGATTTCACATACAGCGATTTCACGCCACAAATGTGAACTGTGAATTAAGGAGCTGAGAATCCACACAAAGTGGTGAAGGCACAGATGCAGCAGCATTCTCTCTCTCTCTCTCCCTCTCTCTTCTTTTACGAGGCAATGGACAAGTGCAACAGAACTCTAATGGGGTTGGTAAGGAAAAAAAATCCTTCTATAAAGTTAAATTACCACGATTGCTTTAAAAAAATAGTTTCTCTGTAAAAGAAGTATAAAAACACGAGGTGTTACTCTCCAGCGCACAGCCTGCCGAGTTTGCACACAGGAGAATTTGGATCAGGGACAGTCGCGGCATTGATCAGTCTGAGCTGCTGACTTTGATGAGAAAGGGACAAATTTTACACTGCTGCAAAGATGGTCAGCATTACAGCATTATATTTAACTCTGATACACAATAAAGAAAGTCCCTTTTTCCTCTCTCTTATTTGCTGAATAACTGTCATCTCGTCTCTGTGGGGCTGATGCGTTTTTCAAAACAATTCAGCAATGCTATGCGTGAAAGGCATTCAAAGTGTCGCCCACCAGGAGATTTCCATCCAGCAGATATATGGGAGAGTGGATGTGCCTGGGGGTCATTCCACCATCTTGCTGGATTCCCAGGTTCCGGTGCCTTGAGTCCTTCTCTCTTTAAATTGTATGTTTGTTTTTATGTGTTGGCTTTTATGCTTGGTAAGTTATAACCCTGTAGGGGCAGACCCTAAACTCCATTTAAAAAAAGAAAAATCAAATTACTTTATACCCTGAGTGCTCTCTGCAAATAAAATCAATAAACAGAAGACTTCCTGTGGATTTATGTAGGTTTTGAAAGAAGACAGGAGCTACCAACACAGTATCAGGCGATGGACACAACTTCTGGTTAGTCTTTCCTAGAGAATGATTTTCATTAGATATGCCTCCAAATGATTCATCGCATAATTATATTTGGAACAACATCGTCTTTTTCATAACCATGATGATAATTGTGTGGACCAGTTTTTTTTGTTTGTTTGTTTTTTTAACCCATCTTGCAACGAATGGATAGCAGCTTGCTCTGTAGTTTTCTCTGATCCCTAATTACTCTGCTGTTCATTGGGACCCACAGGCGGCCCTTTCTGACAGCGTCCTCACTGCTGTGGCACTTCTGCCCTCTTCCCACCGACTCCATCTTCCCCGACAAGAGTCAGGACTCCTGTTCCAGCTTCCTCATCCTTCTCACTGTTCCCCCGCTTGCCGAGGCTGGTCACTGTGCTTGGCTGTCAGGACCATAGATACAGATGCTGTCTTTGAGGGTGTCATGGTCAAAGCGCAGAGAGAAATGAACGTAGTTGACCTGTAGCATTGGATCCCTGGAAATGGCAGAGCCATTTTCCTGTCAATCCTGTCCCCACTCCCTCTCTGATAAAACACTGAAATATACACACCTTCATACATAAATAACCTAATATTTTTGCCATATCTAATGATTTGATAGAAACTTTGCAGAGCAATGATGATAAATCTACCTTGGGGTCACACACCTCCCTAATCCCACCTACCACAAATGGAATAGCGCCAGTAGATTTCCTTGAATCTTTTTACTTGATTATAAGTGGAGACCTGGTATCCTCTGGTGGAAAGGTACTATTTCAATATGCTAACTATATCCCAGTCCTAAGTTTATGGCACTGTTATTTTTCTCATGTAGCTATCATTTGTGGGATTTCCATTTAAGTCTATTTCTTTGAGGATTCTGAATATTTTAGTCATATAAGGAATGTGTAGGATATCCTGTCAGACAGAGGGCCTTGTATGCTATAATCAGAATGTTAATTTCTTAAAAATATCATTTAAAGGCACTTTGCACATATGCATGTACAAACGAGAAGTGGAGGGCGTGCACACAGCAAATGTGCCTCCAGATGGACACATGTACTCAATTTAGCATAAAGGTATTTTTACATCTCTGAAAACAATGGGTGGTCTAAAATACATTCATACAATATGGACTAGGGGCTTCCAGTCATGTGGTCAGCACCTTGCTCATCATTGGGTTGGGCTGAACTGCTCTAACAAATGGTATTCTTTTATCCTTTATTTTTTTCCTTCCAGATAAAAGAAACACTTCTATTGAAGTTATGAAAAAATGACTACCTCTTCAAAGTTTTTATGGTAATTAATTACATAAAGTTTCCCGCCTACAAGACATGGTGAAGTTATTAGTAGATAAGTCGAAAGTGGCAAACTATAAATATGTGAAGTGTAAGATCAAAGATTGGAGTCTTATGGAAAATCATTTTGTTCAATTAATTAAAAACAACTGATCCATACATCCAGAAAGTTGAGTATATGCACAATGTGCGTCTATCAAAAAAAGTAGCTAGATGTGATACAAATATATTTATTTTCATTCTGTCTACCTTCTTGGATATGATTTTCTGATTTTCTGAATGTTTGTCTAAAGCTTGGGAACATATTGAGAATGTTTACAAAAAGTGAAATACAGCTTCCATTTTTATATAAGATACACTTTTCTATAGATTAGTAAGATGGATATTAATA